GGACCTCAAGAGCCTGCAGCAGAAGGGTTTAGTGCCATGACGCAGTTCCCTGAGTCTGCAAACCTAGACTACATCCCTTGTTTGGTTATGGTTTAGCATAGGTCAAATAGACCTCAACATGCAACTGTTCATCATTTTGGCCCCTATAGAATTCATGCTTATCGGGTCTTGTGGTTGGGAATTGGTGCGTAGTGTTCACTCACGGGAAATCCGGGATCAGGTTTTGGACTCGACGCAAGGGGTTTCTATAGGAGTTCCCCTAAAAGGCCGACGTGTCCATATGAGCTATGGTCTAAACTCCTAGTATCCCCCCTTGATAGCCTCTATAATACTCCCTTCTATAATTCCCAATATAACCCCTTTAGACTAAGGCTCATATGAGGTGTCAGTACATCTAACATTTCCGCTACTTCAGGATGATGGCAAAGAGGATGGCGAAAAGGATCCTAAACGGAGAAAGATCTCCACCGAGAATGGGGACAAGGAGGCCGAGAAACCTAGGACTTACCGGAGCTTAGTAGGGAATATGGGAATGTGCTATATAGGGACTGTCCGCGGATTACATTCCCATTTTCCCTACAGTTTCCCAAAATAGGGGACCCCAGTATAGACCCCAATATTGTGTAATCCTCATTATAGAAACCCACAAAAGGGCACCCCTAATTTTGGGAAAGCCCTCTCCCTCCGGCTCGCCGGGCTGTCTGGCAGTTCTGCCAGGCCGCGGATGAGGCCAAAGCCGAAACAAAAGAAGCCGCCAAGGAAGAAGTCAAAGAAGACCTGGAGAAGTTCACGGCCCTTAGCCTATCTTTAAGGGAATAGGGGGTAATATAACCCGTATGTAAGGAATAAGGGAATATGATTGAATATGTTCTACGTGGTTTATATATGTAGATTATATTCCTCCGTTCCCTACTAAGCCCCAGTAAGTTATGTAGGATTCTATGATGACACCGTACGGCCATAGCTTTCTGTGGTGGGCTTTACGAGCTTAGGGTAATGCGGCTCTACAGTGCAACGAGGCTAGCTCAACAAGATTTTGGAGGTTGATGCAACCTATGGTCCTAATCATGGGCCATTGATGTGGGTCCCTGCTTGTTTCCTGGATGCGAACTATGGGCCCGTAATTGGATTTGGAGGGTGTTGTAAGGTGTATATGATTGGTATATTCGGACGCCAGAGCAAGTAAGGCCCCAAACTAGGGGCACAGACTAAGGGCACATAGTAGAAACCGTAGATGCCATCAGGCTTTTAAAGGTTGTGTAGGGTTTGCATGGAGCTTCATCTTGTTTCCGTATTGAATTCTACCAGCCCCGGACAGCGTCCAACCCCAACTCATCAGAATTGAGCCCTTCATTACCATGAATGCACCCTCCATGACAACTCCCGGGCATATTCTGCATGACAAGCTGCGTACCTCGTTCATGTATGACCCAAATCCAGAAAACCTAAACTCCAAACCCAAATCCTGCATCCCTTTGTAACCATAAACCCAAACCTTAAACCCTAAACCCAATATAGTAGTTTCCATTTCATTTTCTATGGTGCCCTACAACCCCAAACTCCGGTACTCAGGTGGTGCAGCTCAAGGAAAAGCTCCGCGCTGCAAACCTGACGGTGTCCGGGAACAAGGCGTAGCAGCTTTCGGGGTTCCGGTAATTGGAATCGGAGCTATAAATTCCCAAAGCTGAATTGTAGCTATTTCTAATTCTTTGTCTGACCCAACCCTAAACCCTAAACCTTCAGGTAGGATGGAGGGATCAGGGTTCAGCCGGAGAGCAGATTTCTGGGTCGCGGCCTTGAAGCCTGGGGATCTCGGTTTAGGGTTGACTGCGTTGCGAAACCTGTTGCGTGCATTTTAATTTGTGGTTCCTGGTTGAGGGTGTGCCGGTTCAGGAATTTGACAGGGATTGCGCACAGTACTTTTGAAGGGCCACGTCTGAAGTCCTGTAGGTTGCTGGGGGTCTTGCTTTTTCAAAAAATCTTAGTCCATCCCCTGTGTGTGTGTCTGCATGTGTTAAGAGAATTCCTGCCCAGCAAACTCCAACATTCTTTGAAACAGCGACGAAATTGCTGTAGCCCCGAAGTTTCTTGTGCAATTACGAGTTCCAGGCTTGAGGGCTTGGACGCTGCTGTTTGGGTTGTTGGGGCCTTGGGAACCTTCATACTTCGGATATCTTCTCAGAGGCGAAAACTACCGCATGGGCAAAGGGGGAAGGCTTGACAGGCTTATGGTGCCTCTTGGACATCACAAGAATCCAGCAAGATGGCAATGCTCGAGAGGGTCAAAGCCTAACAAAGGTCTGTGGATCCTAGAAGGCCTGCGGGGAGGATGGGGGTGGATTGCGCCCCAGGCTTTGCCAAGCGCAAGCGAAGATTCCATAGTTCAACGTGAGAGTTTCTCAGCGTATCCCCTGCGCATAGTCCATGACAGTCTTCCTAGGTCCCAAATCATGCCTTTAGAATCCTCATATCTCAAGGGTCCCAAACGCTACGGGTCCAGATACCCAAACAATGAGGTTTCAGGTACCCAAAAACCATTAGCTTGTAATGCTTGGGGCCCCAAGATCCTCCACGCAAGATCCCCCAGTTTTGATCTATTAACATTGTCGTTTGTGCGCCAGCCCGAGCTGATCAAACGATTGGAGGCGCGGTCTGCATTCAGACCTAAGATGCACCGTGGTTACTGCCCGCACCCTACAACGTGCATATTTAGCAGCTGCCATTATTACTCTAATTGTTATTCCTACTGCTGCTGCTGCTGCTACTGCTGCTACTGCTGCTACGCCTACTAGTGGTAGTAGAATAGTGGTTGACTGTACGAGGGTGGGGCCGGTATCCCGGAATAAGTCTATAGCGTTTTTGGTGCACTCTGCTTATAGCACAATAACGAGTTCAGCCTGGCTTTCCAGTTGCAATTGCACTTGGAGATAATCTTCGCATGTGCGCAGGCGTTTAGCATGCCATCTATTGGTTACTGCCTCAAGCAGCATTCCCAGGAAGATGATTTCTGAAAAAACATGCTTGCTGGATGGCAGATCCTTTAATTAAGCTCTAGATGACATACATATTAATATATATATATGTAACATCCCTCAGAGGATTGCTGCCTCCAACTATTCCCGCAATTGCCGAAGACCCGAGTGCTGTTTTTTCTCGCCCACCTGCGAGCCTCATCTAAAGCCTGCTGCCTCGGAACAGAGGATGGACACTGAGACATGCCAGCTTGTAGCTGCTGTTCCCGTTTGGAACACTTTGAAGAGGCTTCAGATTCTATGAGCCTTTAAATTTTAAGCCAAAAGCGCCAAATCCTGCGGCTCCATCTGCGGTGTAACCCCCCGAGATTTTTGCAGACCGAGACGCAGCGTTCTTGCTGGCAGGAGCATGCCAAAGCTACACAGGCTCACCGCCATGTTCGTCTCCGGTGCAGGGTTGCTTACTCATTTCCAAGGTAATTTCTTCAGCGCAGTAACAGTTGGACAAGAAGTACAATAGGATATATACATATATAGAGCCCTTGAAATGACCTTATTATGGTCTTCGATTGGGGGCAGGACCCAAGATATATGCTAGGCCTGACATTTGGCACCTAAGCCTTCTGCACAGCCTCAGCACCAAACAAACCTGCCTGCAAGATTTGGTGAATTACATCAGAGCCTCAGAGTGGCCACAGCTGAGTAGTAGCAAATGGAATACGGATGCGTTGGTCTTCAAATAACAGCAAAGATTCTACTGCATATTTGGGTGTGGTATTTTACAAGCAGATTATAATCTACTTCGTTCAACCGTGACGAAAAAACTCACCTAAGGCAGTTGTGTCGGAGCTGTTCTGCAAGGGTTCCAGTTTCTAGAGTGCTGGGTACCCGTTGATGAAGCTTTTTGAGAGTCCTAAACAACATAAGGCGGGACCCCCGCTTCTGGAACGACACAATCTAAATTCAACGGATGCCCTCGCCCTTCCTTCACGCACTCCGTGGTCTTTGTGGACATCCTCAGCATTCTACGGTTTTCCCTGAGCTCAGAGACTGAAAGGGGCAAGGGCTTCCCTCTCCGGTCCAGAACCCCAGAAGCCATGACTTCAAGGTCTAAAATGGGTTATGCTGAAACCATATTGGTTTGTCCAGTCAGGATATCCTGAGACATTCTGCCTTGATCCGCGGGCATGGGCATATATACTCGTAGGCTTAAGTTGCCAGCAGAGTAGGGCTTGCGCAGGCCAATATCAACACATGGTGGTTTCCCAAAATTATGGGTACCTTGTTTTGGGGGTCCCCATAAAAAGGACTGTAGCATTTTGGGGTCTATATTGGGGTACCCCCTATTTCGGGAGACTGCCGCATGTTGGCCAGGCGCTCAAGGAAGCCGGGAAGCCGCTTGCCTGAGCCAGCAGACATGGATCACTCAACACCACACGAGCTATAGTCTAAACTCCTAGCATCCCCCGTAATACCCCCTATAACAACCCCCATATGTAATCTCGAGTTTAGACTATAGCTCACCTAGCTTCAGACTTCAGATGGCCGCGCATCCATACAGTGGGTTCATAGGGAAACGACCTCAGACACAGGTATGAATGCTTGAATTGCGGTTCTGAGCACACTACTGAGACCACTACCAAAGGGTCAATGTAGCAGATGAGCAAAATGTTGACCGCTTTTCCTCATGTGCGCGGGATGGCAGCAGCCAGTATCTCTTCATGCCTTATACCCTTGGCTTCCCTGCAGTGAACCTGCTAATTCATCATCATAGAAAGTGTAGAACCTGCCTAAATCTCTGTAATGCGCACGTGCACCTGGTCTGCATCCTTGTCTATCTCGCTGCCTAAGACCTCTGCGCAATCCTCGCCAGCAGTCTTCAAAGTAGAGGAATACAAATGGCCATCCTGGGGACTTTGAGGCTTCAGGCCAAGCGTTGTTTCATGGAGGGGCTCCTATTGACACATTGCTACGCATCGAGAAGAAAAGACAATCAAACAGTTAAGAACCTTCGCTTGCGCATTCAAGGCCTGCAGAGAAACAAGAAGAGCCAGAGAAGAAGGAGGACATGAAGGTGGATCAGGAGGGAGAGAAGAAGGATGGCGCTGCCGAAGAGGGTGGCAAGGAGGGGGATAAGAAGGTCGAGGCGCAGAAGGAGAAGGAAGCCAAGGAAGAGGAGGAGCCTCATCTTTTGCTGGCTGCAGGGTGACAATCAAGGGAGCAGGAAGCGTTTCGCATTTGGATCCTGAAGCGACACCGTCGCCCAGACTGGTCATATGGGGACTACGGGTTCATGTAGTGGGGTTCCTATGACAATATTGGTTCCTGTATAAGTTCCCCCCGTTTTGGGAAGAATCCCACATGGCAAGGAAACTCAACTTGGAGTTGTCCAAAATCTGCCTCATATCTTGCTTACGCGAGAGGAAGCTCCAGAATCCGATGCCCTTGCAAGAGTTTAGGGTTCAGGGTTTTGGGGGGCTTCCTCAGGGCGCCTGGTTGGAGAAAATGCTAAGTCTGTCAATATCATGCTGGACACTGGGGCCTGTTGGAATTCTTCAGTGGAGGTTTGTTCTGAAAGGCCTCGGACAACTCTGTAGTGCTACAGGTCTGTACTGCTGGGTCACGAGAGGTGAAAAAATCTGTGACCCAAATAAGTACAGAGCTATCATGATATGCCCCATAAATGTTCATGGAGTACCATCTTGTTAGCTGTGTGTAAGCATGGCCACCCAAAACTTTGCCCTATACCCTTCAGGGAGCTTGAAAAAGCAAGCTTCCCTGGCATGCTTGTCTTGTGTAGTTCCCAGCCTTTGCCAGGAGGACAATGTGGACTACCTAAAGGCAAGTCCTGGCCTAAACCCTAGATAGGGTATATAGGGTTTAGGGCCAGGGTATGATGGAGTGCCTTTCAGTCTGGCAGAGCCTGAGGGAGTTCCAGATGCAAAAAAAGTGGTTGTTTCCATGTTTTCCATTACCCCCTGTATAATCCCCTAAACCCTACACCGTCATGATTCTGAGCAGCGGCCTTCGGATCGGCAATGATACCTTCAGGGTGCAAAGGGGGCTTCAGCAAGCGAAGTCAGGCGCTGATGTTATGGTGGGCTTCTACTTGCACCATGAAAGCTAAGGAATTAGGGGCTTAGGGAAAGCCAAGGAACAATTGTTGAACGCACTCAGGCTGCAGCACTACCCATACCCATGCTTTGCCACGCCACTCGGTCATAAACGATAATCAAAGTATCATGAGCTGGCTTCTACTAGAACACATGTTCGTTCCACTGGTGCCGTCTGTGCAGGTAGGTGAGAGCTCCACGGAAGTAGGGTTTGAGTTTTGCGGTTTGGGTAGGTAATAATGGTCCTGATGCTGATAATGGTAATCCTAAGAATGATAGGTGGCAATAATCATGCAGGTTTTTACTTCTAGCAGCCATAACGATACTAGGTAGTAATAAGAAGAACAAGAAGAGTCAATGGTAGTAGTTGTAATGGTAAAAAGAGTATCCGGCATCAAGGACTTTCGATCTCTAGGGCTTGAGTCATGTGACTCCCTACGTGTTCCCTGGCCCCCATCATCTGATCCTGGAATTAAGTAATCCCAATAGAAGCCCAACGCAAGATCCATAAGTTTGGACAGAGTTCACAGGGACCATTACATTTTAGGGTTTAGGGTTCATCAATAATCTTCTTTCAAACTCAGTATCCAATCCAACCACGATGCCGTAGACCAGATTTGATCTACAGCTAAGCCTGGCTGGAGGAGCTGGACGAGGAAATCGAAAAAGCGGACAATGACGTCTTCGAGATGGAGGATGTCACTGAACCTTGCCCGCTTTGAGCGCAGGCGCTGCTGAAGCACGGAAGTCGGCAGGGAGGAGAAGGCTTCCTCCGATGTCCCTGAAAAACGTGGCAGCAAAGAAACTCAATTCCTCCCTTCTGTCTCATCCTTGATTTTAAATATTCCCCGTGTGCTACCGGAAAGCAGGAGCGTGTATTCTGTGAGCGTGTCCAAGCTTGGATCTTGGCTCCTCACCTCTCCACCATATTCCGCACGCCATGTTAAGCACCGCGTTCCTCTGCGCAGAACTTAATCTTTCAATCTTGCGCGTGCGTTTTTAGGAACGTATTTGTGTGAGCCACTAGACACGTATGCAATCAACAGCAACGGCATTCTGTACCGCGCAAGATGTGGTAAAGCCACTTAAGAAGAATCCTCACCTCAAGCTTTTGAGATGGGATTGGTGATTTTCGTAGCTTTTCGAATAGAGTCTCCAACGGACTGACCTTGGATGCCCCCATATGTTTCCCTCGGGTGGGACCTTGCACGAGAGAAAGCCGAGCGGCTCAGCCACCGAACCGCGGCTTAAGGTATGGGATGAGATGTCAGGAAATCAACGTACAAAGTACAGGTTGAGGACGGACGAAAGGAATTTCTAGCCCAACTTTCCGTGCCCCTGGCAAACGGGCCCCATAATATGTGGATCCGGGAGAGAGGGACGTTGAGACATCTTCAGCGTGAGTGTCAAGTTGAGTATGCGTGTGCGGGGTTGACATTAAATGTTCTGCTACGAAACGCCGAACAGAAGCCCCTGGCCACCCTTGGCTCAATCTTAGGACATCGGCACTGGCGAGCCCCTATTCTTCAACTTTGGCTTTGAGGACACATTTCCTCAACAACCGCTACTGGCGTTATGGCGTTTCAGGTGCTGGGGTTTGTCAAGGTTGTGCTTTTAGGTTAGACACTGAGCATGGGAATGGTGAAAAGGAGTTTAGGTTTTGTGCTGGTGTCTCAGTGATTCCAAATGCAGCTTGCAGCATGTAAGTTGCCTTGTCTGAGAAGATCGTGCAACACCTTGCTCAATATGCCATTTAGTAGCACCAACCCCTACACAAGGACCCCATAAGAGCCATTGGAGCGGCATGGGGCCCCCAAATCCCCATGTCATTGCTGCATTTTACAGTTTTACGGTGCCAGCGCGGGGCATCTTGCAGCGGCCCTTCCCTCAGAGTAGGAAGGGAGGACCGGCTTACATCCGACCAGCTACTGTTGATGGAGAAATGCTTGCACAGGGTTTAGGGTTTCGGGTTTAGGGCTGGCTCCCAAACATATTGTAATTCCTGGGACTTAAGCGACTTAGGGCGGTGCATAATTTCCTCCATCAACGATACCTACTTCAACAATCCTTGCAAACGTAAATCCACATATCCCTGCAAGACTTCCGTCATCACATAATCCTGAAACATGTACTGCCCCTAGAATCAGGAGAATTTGTCATCCAAACCTAACATAAAGATCCAGTCACCTTTTGGATAAGTACAGTTGTTTATCTCCAATTGAGTAGTATTCTATTTGGGGATACTATGGTACCCAATATAGAGTAAGATTCTATCCTCCTTTTGGGGTATAGTATCTTATATAAGGAATAGAATCTTAGCAGGTTTAACCACCAATCAAAGCACTATGCAATTCTGGAAGATGAGGTTCTACTATTAAATCACATGCAACAGAAGCAACCAGGAATCCCGATAATTGTCATCCTGTAGGTTACTGAAACTCAGCAAGCGATGTTCAACGATGGTTCTAACATTATCCGAACTACAAAACCACAGCTTTTCGAGGGTGCCCAACAAGGAACCAGTAAGGAGTCTCATATCCTAAATCCTAAGTCTGCAACGCTAAGCCCGAAATCCTACATCCTAGATCTAAGCCCTAGATTCTAAAAGCTAAAAGCCTGAACCATAAACCTCAAATATACAACTTTAAACCCCAAATCCTAAACCCTAAACCCCACAAAGAACCAGTGAAGGACTGGGCACTACTGAGCCTTCGCTTCGAGCTTCACCTGCTGGCCCACGCATTCCTGCACGATTGTGGGGATCCGGAGAGGCCCAGAGATAATAAGTATCATAGTTTCAGGGGGTTTCGGGGCGGATAGGGTTTAGGGGGGGTTTAGGGCTTCTGTACGAATAAGATGAGTAGTAATGATACAAAGGTATGAATGATGAGAGTAGTGGTAATAACTAGTACTAATGGTACGAATTTGAATGGTAATAATACAATGATGAGAATAGGTAATGATAGTGAGAGGGGTAGCACAAGTAGTTTTAAAGGGAATCGTAGTAATATCAGTAACCACGGCTCACTGTGAGCTGGTTTGAAGATTGTGGAGTTTAGGTCGGGTACGGCCGCCTCCCAGTAACAGTGGGATGACAAGCATAATATGAATATACAAACCCCTTACTTCCAGCAAAATTATCCGCTGTAACTTTATAGACTTGTTCCATGCTTGGCGCAAGGATCAGTGAGGCTTGATGGTCGATGGTAGGTTGGGACATATGGCAGATTCCCTAACTAAGGGGACCCCAATATAGACCCCAATATACTATAATCCTTATTACAGGGGCCCCCCAATAAGGTACCCCTGATTTTGGGAAACCCCCATATTTTCACAGGAAGGGAGGCGCGACAGGGGAAGCCTTGATGACCGAGGTATGAGCACACTGCTCAGCAGCCAAAATAACCGTCAATCCGCCAGGGAAGTTGTTGGCATGGATGTTCCATGGGTCAGTTGCAACATACTGGTTCTTTTTAGGGAATAAGGAAATATAACCTAAATCATGTATAATACCTACTAAGACCCAGTAAGTTGTTGGCATGAAGTTCCGTGGGTCTGTCGAAACCTTTGTATCAGGACCGGCATCTACCCAGACCACCTGCTCTTCTACTACAACAGGTGGCCCGTTAAGTGGACATGACTCTATAGTCCCCCTTAAGTAGATAGAATATGGGGTATATGGGGATCTTATTATAATGTACTTAAGGAGGACTATACCCTAAATACGGTGTAGGTTTTAGGGGTTGCATTCCGGCAGGTCGCTTGCTTTATCAGCTGTAGTGACTGTAGTGTTGCATGAGATTTTAGACAGTGACTCTGAATACCCATGCAGCTGGGGCCTGCATCTAAAGCTAGTAGCTCTCCCGCTGCCATGCCCAAACCAAGCCTTTGCCATTCGATGACCGCAGCATGCAGTCCTTGAATCGTAATTGCATATCTGCATCAGTTCACACGCATACGCATCATGTACTACCTAAATCTAACTTTGTAACCCTTGCGTAGGCACAATCAAAGTCAAAAGTTGTTGGAGGGCTCTATTCCCACGGCACCCATCGGTCTGCTTTTTTTAAAATAATATCGATCCTGCAGCAGTTCGCTTGGGGGGGAACGCGCAACCGAACCCCTGCCAAACCTGAGTGCCTAGCGCAAAAATCACACGTTTCCAATGCCAACCAAGACTGCTTGTTGCAAATCCTGTTGGTCGGATACATGTCAGTCGTGTAGATCGACCGAAACGACCAGATAGCCATCTCTGAAGAAGATGCCGGCGAAGCTTTTGCGTCACCCCATATGCACTATTTGAGGAGTCTTTGTGCAACTTGCTGCTTCCCCGGCAGACAAACCACAACCCATATTGAGGAACGCTCACAAGTGTCTAGCGGCAAGAACTGCGACAGCCTGTCCCAAGCTGCAAGCGTTATTTTTTTTGTGGAAATTCTAGCAGCCGATCTCCAGCCCAAAGCAGGAACGCCTGGGAGTTTAAACCCCAATGCTTTACACACTTGTTGCCTCTCTAAAAGGGTAATCTGCATAAGGCCACAAGCACCTTTCCCTTCAAACCTACTCCTTCCTGGGCAGGTACTACAAAAAGGGCTTGAATCCAAAGAACTATGGCGTGGAGGGGGTGGAGGCAAGGAGGGCCACCCAGCTCGAGTCTTACTTGTGGATTGTTGCTTATTCTTCTTTGCAGCCCTAAAAACTAAACCCTAAATCCCAAAAGTACCAACCATGACTGTGGGTTGAGGAATCTAAGGCTTAGCTTTGGATTTAAGGCATTGCTGGGAAGCTCCCCATCTTATCGCAGAAGGCACGTGGTGTTTCCAGATTCAGACATCCGCGCTATATTGTCCAAAATGTACAGCTTCTGAGGGAGAGCCCCAAAATTCGAACCCCGAATTCCGTCATGGGGACACCCAATTCTCCCTCAGAGCTTGTTCAGCAGCAGTCCGTTCCGGACTCATTCATGGCTGGCACTTCTTGGCTTTTCAATGCTACTGTTCATACTACAGTCAATTTCGTTGCTAGCATGTAGCGCAACTAGTCATGTTGTTCTCTGTAGCATGACCAGTTTCTTTGGTAGTTTGTCTCATCGTTAAGTTCAGATGTGGCTTTTTAGTGTAGCAAGTCTCACCATGAACTTGCGTTATAGCTGGTATCATCTTTCTTGTTTTTTTTTGATTGGTCTGTTTAGTGTCAGTAGTGGGGAAATTGGGTGTTGTGATATTTCTCTGTTTAGTTGGCAGTATTCTGACTGAGTATGGGCTTGCATAAGTCAGGACTAGTACCGTATTGTTCTTATGCAAATAGGTGCATTTTTGAGAACCACATGTTGGATGTTGATTTCAATGCTGGCTTTCAAGGGCCTTGGCCGGAAGCATGCTAACGCTTGCCGGCACAGTCGCCAGAAACATGGTTCCAGAAGCAGTCATGCTCCGTATGAAGCAAGTACTGCAGAAACCTAACAAATACCAACAGTGTGGTCCTAGGTTCCTTGTAGAACTACGGTTAGGGTACCTCGAACGGAATCATAAGATGATATTGGTAATTACCAGGCCCCTACAGTGCAGATTTTGCACCATGTACCGTAAAATGGCAGCTGAGCGTGTCAGGAGCTAGTTGCCCTCGTTCGCGACAGCATCGTCATCTGCCCTCCAAAGGCCAGTTTGTGGGCGTCAGTGGAAGTGAGCTGGAGCCTACATGGGGCACAGGGTTGGCGTGGACACATAGCGCTTCGGGGTTTCAACAGTTGTAGGGATTTTGTAAAACCATGAAGAAAAAATGGACATCCCTATCAAACCCCAGCTTCCATGCCAATATTCATTTTCTTTTGCGTTTGATTTGCCGCTATTGGGTGTCATATTCCTGAACCCTACGCCAAAGCACTACATCATTAAGGATTGCCTGAAACCTTGCCAGGTCATCGAGTCAATGCTGTCTGCTGAGCTGGAAGATAACGCTGCCCTGGCATGGTCACAAGTTACGCACATGGCCTACCTGGAATGCCAGTAGCCCATGATTCGAGTCTACTTTCCCGTAATTTTCTATGATTTGGGCTAAAGTAATCCGGTTATTATGGCTAACCAGGCCTTCTAGGCAAGGTTTAGCGAGTTTAGGGTTTAAGGGATAGTCTTTTGGAACTCAGGATAGCAGTTTGGCCATGATGTGTGCCTTGATTCAGGTGATTCAGGTCATTCAGGTATGCGTGAGCCTGTGGAAAACACAAGTCTAGAGACTGTTGTTATGCTGTTTACGTTCAAGCATTGGCTGTCCAAAGAAGGGTCTTCATACCAGCAGGAATACAAGAGCAGCATGTAATCTTCACTCTGCAAGACACCCATTTTCAAGTGGTTGAGGTATGTTGACACATATGTGGACCTTATTTCCTGTTTTGCAGGGAAGAGTTCTGCCCCAGACATCGCAGGTTCCTAGGGTGCCTGACTGCTTTGGTATTTGTATTCTTCCTGGTTTAAATTTGATAGCAGCAAGATAGGTCCATGGGATTTTCTCAAAAGAAAGTGGGTCCCTCTTGGGAGTCCTGATTGTAGGCTGGTGTGACGTCGGGGGTCCAGTTTTTGTTGCGCACCATGGGGGTGAAACATGTCCACATGCCCTACTGCAAGGGTCCAAGTATACACGCAGTGCATGTTTAGGCCTCATATATGCATATGTATAAATTTATATATATATATACATACACATACAGTGCAGTCCCTCGAGGCCCAAAGTATGTACCACAAAGCTATTCGGACCCTTCGGAATGCCAGGACATCTTCGTGAAGCTCACGGAGGAAGCCCGAAGGGAGCGGCTGAGACGGTTGGACGCAGGTCGCCGGTTCTCTGGAGTCTGTGGGGGTTTGTCAAATCATGAGTACCCCAGGATATGTGGGGAACATACAGGGATAATGCAGGGGGTCCCGCTTTGGGGTTCATGTGGACTCATGATGAGCAGAATCCATGTGGTAGGTTGTGCAGGGACTCCGCGTATGTTATAACGATCACAAGGGCGAGATTTGTGCGATATTCGTGGCAGTTTCTGAAAATAATTGGTTCGTCTGTTTAGCGGGCACTGGATCGCTACAGCGCAATTTTCTTTTCTCGGATGAGCGTTTCGGGTGTTTGACTGTGACGATTGTGTGACATTGGGGGCTGAGGGTGCTTAGTGCTCAGCCATTTTAATGCAAGTGGTCCGACAGAAACAGGCCCCTGCTGGCCTCTGCAAGGTGAAATTTTGTTTCCAGATGCAAGACCCCAAACCAGAGTCGACCCTTGCAGCTACAGCACCTTAACCCTGAAGACTTCTTCTGTCAACCCACGAACAACCTTTTCAAAGACAGAAGTGACCAGGCGATGAGAGCGCCGGAAGACTCAGCTGAGCTAGCGTTGGTTATAAGAGTGGCGCATAGGGCATAGGGCTTTCCAAAGATTTAGGGCTCCCTTGCTTCAGACCAAGCCTGCCGTTCTAAAGCATGTTGAGGGTTCAGGGTTTTATGGTGACCCCCAAGGAATCTGACTTCCGGCTAGGAGTTTAATTAGAGGGCACAAAAGGTTTAATCCTTTCCCAATGTTGGAACTGTGCCGCTCGAAAGGCTGAATGATTGAAGCTTAAGTTCGTGCGGTCGCATTTCGTACTATTGATGGGGGGGAAGCCCGCTGCGTGGGAACGCCAATTGCTCAGCATAAGCCTCAGGCGCATTGCCCAATAGAGTTTTGGACAATGTATTCACACAGGCCTGTGCAACCTGTATGCAGTTTGCTAGACCTACTTAATTTTTCGCGCATGTAAGATTCATCCAAAGCCACAGCACCAAAATTAACATGAATTCGAATATTGGCTTCCGTGTAATACACTACCTGGACCCCAAAGTAGATAAAACAATCACCCAAAATTTCCTAAACAAATGCAAAAGGGGCCATTGTTCTACATACATTTGGGGTTCAGGCAGAAGGAGGAAAGCTCTCCATGAAAAAGCCCTGCAATTTGATCCCAGGCCCGGCTGAAGTTTGCCACTGGCGGGGCCGCGGCAAAGGCGTAGAGTATGGAATTTTAGGGTTCTTCAAGTTTTGGATTCCTTCTGCGGGACCCTAAGGGTCCAAGGACTCAAATTATAGGGTTTTAGGGCCCAAATACCATTAATATTATAGTATTTGGGCCCTGAAACTCTTTTATTTGGGTCCTTGGACCCTTAGGGGGAGGGGAGGTTCCAAATCATTCAAGTCCTATTTCATAGGCAAAGGAGGCCGGACGAAGCTCGATGAGATCGTCGGGCCTATGGAGGTTGTTGGTTTCAGGATTTTGGGGGGGGTGGAGGGTTCATGCGGTTTTGGGGTTCGGTTTTTTCACACAGATATTTTAGGGCTCGGGGTTCGATTCCGGAATGTTTTCAAAGTCATGAGGCGGTCCTTTGCTGCAAGTGCATGTAGCAATAGCAGTAGCAGTGGTAGTAGTAGTAGAAGTAGTAGTCGAAGAAGGAGAAAAACGCACTTCAAGCCTGAAATTGTGGCCGGTCTATTGCTAACTAGCAAGGTTCTTTCCGCAGGGCCTACTGTTCACATGAAGAAAGCACTCTACCTAGACAGCCCACCTATCCTCTAGCAGGGCCTAGGTAGCCAGTATTAGAGGCCATATGGGCTCTAGTCTCAATTCCTTAAAGGGGGTTGTATAGGGGATTATATTGTGGGAATTATAGTGGTTGTTAAGGGGGTTACTAAGCGTTCAGACTATAGCCTAGCTCATATATCCAAATTAAAGGGCATTGCGAGGGTCCTGGTACTCCTCAGACACTGGGCAAGGCTGGCGCGAAAGCTCCAGTTGTCATCCCGGGCAAGGGAGTCGGGTGCAGGCCTCAGATGAACACCAGTTTCCATTTCATGCTCTATCATTTTCCCTTTGGTTCTCCATTTTGGAGGTACGATCCCTAACTTCTACCCCAAAAGCGCCTTGCCCAGGGTTGCGGCGATTCGGTGTCTGGAGTGGCATATCCTCAAGTTTTCATTTATGGAAACAGCCCATTCCAACCTATGAACGTCACAACATTTTTGTAGGGCACAGGCCAAAGCCCGCAACCACCTGAACCCCCAAAGAATGATGGCAATTCTGTTTGTTTTGTAGGTTTTCACGCCATTATCTTACCAACATTTGGGGTGCAGGTAGATATAAATGCAGGGGACTTCTTCTGGTGAGGGTGGCCTTTTGTAATAGCGTGGGAGGATGGCCAGCGGCTTCTTTCCAAAGTTGATGCATGGTCGAGCTCGATCTTACTGGTGCTCAAGGGAGACTGGGGGAGAGGATCCCTATAATAGTCCTTATAGTATCCCCATATACACCCCTATAATGGTACAGTAGGTCATCAGGACTCCAGGCTTCCAATCATGTATGGCTCTCTTGTTGCCAAAGAAATGTCAACTCGGAAGCTTTTGATCTTGTACCCTAGTGCCGCCGAACGCCACCCCAGTTCTAAAAGAGAAAGAAGTCTTACATAACCACCTACCTGAGGGTAACATCCGATTCTGGGGCCATGCCACAAAGTCCTTCAACATTCCCTAGGGATCTAAGCATACAAATAACTTCCATGGGGCTCCTAAAGTCTGTAAATATTACCTACATTGGGCTATTTGGATTCCTGTGGATTGAATGAACCCCGAACTTCAAGTTTCGAAGCCCTTAACGACTTATCTCTCTGCTCATGTAAGTCCTGCCCGCCATGTCAGGAAAGGCGAGACTGTTGCGCAGAGTCTGCTCCAACAGCAGCGGCAGCGGCCCCGAACACTTGTGGGGGCTGAAAGGAAGTCATGGACTTTTCTTGGCTTCTCCGCGGATGGTTGTATAGCGCAGGAATTCGGAAGAGCTACAGAAGATGCAGAGTATTGAGGGGTAGGAGCCCTTGGGCATATTATGGGGAATTATTGGGAAAATGGAAAATGAATGGAAGCTACAATATCATAAGGGTTATACAGGGTTTAGGGTTGGGGTTATACAGGGATAATGGCAAATTAAATGGAAGCTACTATAATGGGTTGTATAGGGGTTATAGGGTATGTTATATGGTCATCGGTAGGCAGCTCAAAGCTTCTTGATGTTCTCGCCCATGGAATCTTTGAATCACTGGCACACCTTCGGAAAACACCAGTCTTGGGAGCCACATAGCAGTCATCTCCATGTACGTCATTCAAAATGAGGACGTGCTGTCAGGGAAATGCAGGAAATCAGATGTTCTTAGGTGCCAATATACTACAGTAGCTTTTGTTTTCTTTTCCATGATTCCCCGTGTATGCATATATCCCTAATAGGTCCACTCCAGATTTTCCCGCCTGCCCTGGACGTTGCGTCATTCATCTAGTCTCGGAGATTCTGTGCAGCTCTCGCTTAGCCTGTGTTCCAAATATTGATCTTTCAATTTGTGCTGCTACAAGAACCTTCCATCAGCAGTACCTGGGGCTAGCCTGTTCCCCATTTCTTCTAAAACCGACTGCAGGCAGCAGCAAGTCCGACAACAGATGCAGATGGCAACAGCCTGGCTCTCTGTGTCTAGTGCTTTGCCAGGGCTGACTAAGGTCTGGCTATAGAATTTTTCATACGTGAGAGAAGAGAAGCTTGGAAGAAGTCCTCGTCTATAGTGCAGGGAAGGACAGCTTCCCTGCATAAGAAGCGCTTGAGGAGAGCCACACAAGACGCGGCTGAGCTTTTTGACACACCTCAAGTCCGAAGACTTATCCCTATCTCGTACATCCCAGTGTCTCATCCATCATGTAGGGGTAGGTTAGAACATGTTTTAAAATGTTTGCTACCCTTACTTCCTATATAATATCAAAAAAACCAGGTAAACAACACATTGGGGGCCCCCAAACCTACCCTAGTATAGCTGGTGCAGGGTGGAGAGACCCTTGACAAGCAGTGTCCCATGAAATGCAAGCTGAAGCCCTCCAAACTCCAGAATTTCCAGATGGAGACGTTAAAGACCACCATCGAGCAGAAGCTAGACCAAACCTTAGACAAATTCGGCATAAGACCTATGATCCTTTCTCACACCTAGCAAATTCCTCTAATCCCTGTAAGGTTCTACAGCACCTTAGGTTCCCTCTACAATCATCATTGCTTCTATGTAAGCTCCTCTCTGGCCACAGGGTGCTGGCGGCATGCCCGTCCGGCCCTGGGGTCCGCCCCCTGCCGCGCAGGGGCCCCAGGGTTCAGGGCTTGGGGTTCTTTGGGGCCTGGGGTTGATCAGGGCTTGGGATTGGGTTTCAATACAGCTTCAACCTGAGAGGAAAGCCTTCAGGGTTTGAGGAGGGTTTGGGTTTTAGCGGTGTGGAGGTCCGTGCCTGGCCGAGGGTACACCTGAAAATCAGGCCCTTGATATGCTGCTGACCAGGAAGCCGGAAGAGCAAAAAGCACAACTCCCCTCAAAACAGAATGTTTGTCTGCCAAAGCAATCCTTGCCCCCGCAGACGAAACGCTTCTCCCATGATGATACACGCTGATCCTCCAAAGTCGCTACAGCCGCCAAGAACCAGCCTTTGCAAACATGCAGAAGTATAGTTCTAAAAAACGTTGGGTTTTGTTGGGGAATAATTTTGGGAAATGGCCTTGCCAGATTCGTCTTGGTGCTCGAGGTGCATTCAAGAACCTTAGCCATCATCAGATCTGAAACATGCTTCCCCTGTCAAATTGCATGGGATCAGTGGCAGATATGTAGTGCATCGTCAGGTGACATCAGGAGTAGTGCCGCAACTAGGAACCTTGAAAGGTTTGGTGTGCCTTTGGCGCAACAGCGGGCAATGATGGCCATGGACCTGGTACTCACACTTCCTTAGGGGTAACTTCAATGCATACCCCTCGATTTGAAATTGTTTTTAGTTACAGGTCTAGGAGGATTAGAGGGCATGTCAGGGGAGTTTAGGTTTACAGGTGTGCTCGCCAACCTTGCTTCAAAACAGGGCAGAATCAGGACAGTTGCAGCACATCATACAAAATCCGCCTCATATCCTTAATTGGGGATATATGGCCCCTAATCGTAGGTACTTGGGCCCAGATAAAAGTCTAGGTATATACCAGGAATGTGTAAGTTCGCTACAGTTTTTTGGGGCTGTGCAGGCTTACAGTTGCGATGTGCAAGGTTTAGACCGCATGATTCATCATTGAGGGCTCAGTCTTTTATAGGGGTATACAGGGATATCACCCAATAATGGAGAAGGAAATGGGCAAGAACATGGAGAACGAAACAGGAACTGTGGTTGTTTTTTGAATCAGTTCTGCCTCAGATGGGTCCGAAGAGAGCTCTCGAAACATGCTGCTGGAACCCTAAACTCCTAAACCCTTCCCTTGGCAGCGTTTACCTTGCTTTTTCGGGGATGCCTACCTCTTTGCTCAAGCTTAGATCAAAGACCAGGTAGTCTGACAATGCACTGGTGCCTAGCAGGGAATTAGGGACCATAATCCCCATGTAGTCTACGTATAGCCTAAATTCCTTAAACTCGGGCCAGAGGAACAAAGGAGGTTCTGGGTAATGTAGAGGCCTAAATAAGTACATGCCAATATTGTGGCCCTGTGCACAGCCCTAGATTCCTTGCACAAATATGGCATAGGGGATCTCGAATCGACTTCAATGATATTGGTAATGGTTCAGGCGCCTGTATAAGACTAGGTTCGTCACGCTGAAAGACATGCGGTGCTTGCAATGCGATCTGCATTAAAAACCCTAAACCTTAAATACTATAGCCTGCACTGCTGTGCGATGCGCGTGTCTAAATACTATAGTAGTTTCCATTTTAGTTCTTCATTATTAACCACAGTAGTTTCCATTGTAATTTCTATTAACCACAGCAGTTTCCATTTTATTTTCCATTCTTAACCACAATAGTTTGCATTATATTTTCCATTATTAGCCTACTTACCAACCCTCTAAGGCCAGACAGCCCTGGGGCTAAACTTTGCCCCGCTGCGCGGAGAAGCGCAACAGGACAGTCAGTGGTATAGGTTAACGGGAAGATCTCAATATGAGCCATAGTCTGAACTCCTGGTATCCCCCTTGTAACCCAAAGAATGCTACCCTATGTAATCCCCCATATAGCCCCCTTCATGGAGTTTAGACTACAGCTCATATGATTGGCAGTGTTTCCGAAAATCTGCCTTCTGCGGGTCCCGATAATTTGGATTGTAGTAGTTGGGGGTCCATATTCGGGTTCTCCATTTTAAGGAAACTACCAATCTGAAGGTATTGAGATACAGCTGGGCCGACCATTGTAGCAGAACAGCAGTAAGTGGCTCAGCGCGAGAGAGGTACCTGAAGCATTGCTCACAGATATGCCTGATGCAGCTTAGCTCTTGCGCTCGGATCTTGTTTCGTTGCTGGGTTGGAGTGCCCAGTGGTGGATCACCCTGTGCGTCAGGAATTGTTGGATTTTGTTAACTTTTGCAGGCTGAAGGAGGCTAAGCTAGCCCAGACCCCTTATTAACAAACCCCTCCCCTTAATAGGGATTAGAATAGGGATCCTAATATTTAGGCCCTTTGAAGGCATCATCGTGCGTTTGATGGAGAAACCATTAGTGTGATAGCGCTTTGTGTTGGTGCTATGAATGTCTTCCTGATTGTTTCGGCAAGAGCTGCCCGTTTCAGACGGGTATTGGCCTGAACATGTAAGAAGATGCTGGAACTTTACTGATGGCGTTGCCGAAGAAGCGAGGTAACTTCAGCACTGCAGGAAAGAAGTCTTGCAGAGCATGTGCAGGTATTCGTCTACTCACGAGCTGTTCTAGCAAGAGCACCAGCGGATGACCAAGAACCTCAAAATATTTTCTTGCAATATGAGATATCCAGAAATTAGGGGTCTTTTCGGGAGTTCCCATATCGAGCATTATCGTTTCTCAGGCGTACATTATGGGCACCCCTGTATTTCTGGAATCTCAGATGGCCAAAGGTTCTGATTCTGCAGTCAGCACTGCAGGGATTTCTGCACGCAAAAGTGTCATGTAGTAGAAGTCACGGTGAAGGTAACAAGAAAGCGAACCACACGAGCCTCAGCCCAAAATCCTCACCAATTGCCAGATAAATCAAAATCCGCAAGTCCACACTAATCCACTACATCTCCCCAAAATTCCTTGATTTTTTGTGCCCACCCTGTTTGGACGCCCCTCAATGAGAGCGACTTCAGGAGGCCCGACTGAGCAATCCGCTTTGCCTCCTGCATTTTGGAAGCTGCCACGGCTTCCCTCGACTTTGCTCCCAGAGCTCTGCTAGCAAGGATGTCCCTATGTGGGGGTTTCCCAAAAGATAGGCTGCTGGATCATTTGCAGCTTATGTCCAAAACTCCTGGTGGGCTCCTAGAAGCTTTTCCAGAAAGGTCAAAAACTGGACTTCAACCATAAGCCTGAGGAAGATCCTTGAAGGCAGGTCTGAGTGAGCGTGGCTACCACCACGTGAAAGGGCCATTTAGAGGCCACTCTGCCTACCAGCAAGTTATCCAGGAAAAAGGAGGGACCGTTGTGAATCGTAAAGTCGGTTCACTTCTAAAGTCGGTTCCTGTTGTTGACGCTTAAGGTTGGCCAAAGGCATTCAGCCTGATGGCAAGGGGAGGTGGGCATTGGGAGAGGAACTCATTCACCTTACACCTTGAGAGAGAATCATGTGGGACCACCAGCCCTCGCTGCAGTGTAATCAGCCACGGGGGCTCGCAGCCCTAAACCCTAAACCGCAAGAGGTGTCAATGCTTGAGCACGGATGGCCCGAGGAGAGATTTGTGCAGGTACCCCAAGATCAACTAGTCTCGCTGGGTTGCTGCTAAGGAACTTAAATTAAGTTAGCGTAATATGGGTAAGGTAGATAATAAATAATGCGGTTTCCTTACTATAGTAACTGAATTCAAGTTCCTAACAGCAACCGAGTTTGACAGCAGGGTTTTGGAGGTTTTGTGTCATCAGTTGTTTTATTCCAAGAAGTTCGGTCGCCTAGCTGTCTAGTCCATCATGTACGACTTTGTGCCTTCCCTTGACAATTTCACCAGGCAAAGATGCTTTCCTCAAATTCCCAAGCGGGCTGCGCTTTTAAGTGTTTCGCTTGCGCCTCGCATGTTGAGGTTTCAAACTAGCCCAGGCATCAGGCTCGAAGACGCAGGGCACGTTCCTGATTCTCCAGCCACAGAGTCGCTGCAGCAACGCAACCACCCTCTTGTTGTCATGGGGTGGACCTGTGCTTTTTAAGGGGTTTCACGTTCCTTCAGCTATTTCGCCACTTCTTGTATATTCGAACATAGAGAATATTTTTTTGTCGCCAAAGGCCGACAAAAATGTGGGAGAGCCCGAAAAAATCATCTGGCTACCTTGCTGAGGAAAAAGTAATTGCTCGTCCATTAGAACAATTCTTGGGCTTCGAGGTCAAAACTTGGGGTTGGTGGTGGACTTGGAGTTTTAGGTTTGGGCCGCGTTGAGCCGACGAACTCAGATACCATGAGCATAAGAGCATTAAGTGAAGCTGCGCCAATCCTCCAGCTGTGCCATGGACGACGCATGGGTGCTGCGCTCAGGGCCTGCTGGATGTTCATGTGCTAGAGTCAAGAACCAGGGGAGCGAAGCACAAAAAGAGTATGGAGGCATGCTAGTGATACTGGCACTGTCAGGAGAGTCTGTGCTGCATATGCGAGACTGGTCAAGTAAGCTGCTTAGCCAGTTGCTGATCCGCAAAAGTCGCACGCTGATTCTATGATTGTACTCAGGTCATATGTAAACATTCGTTTAAAGAGTTGCCTCACCTCTGGTCCACGTAAATGAGCGCCTCACCACAGGTCTCTAACTTCATAGAGGAGGCGGAGAGCGGACATGTCCTAGCCCCAGAGCCTCAGGATGTTGGGATGAGAGAGTTGGATCATGGGGTGGAAGTAGGCGCACTACGAGGAGAAGGGTGGGTGGGTTGGTGGGTGGGTCGGTGGGTGAGTGGGTGAGTAGGCGCAATAGGAGAAGTAGGTGGATGGATGGATGGGTGGGCGAGCGGGAGGGTGGGTGGGTGGGAGGGTTGGGGAGGTTAGGATCTATATAGATGTCAGGCCGGTTAAAGGTGTTTGTGGGTCATGAGCTGCACACTGTGTTAAATATCTTGCCAGGCGAAAGATTCTCTGCACAGCTCCCTTTCAAATTTCGCATCACCTTGCCAAAAAGACTTGGTAGTTTCCTTGAATAGTTGGACCCCCAATATGGACCCCGATAGTGCTTATCACAGGGATGGCATACATTCAAAAACCAAGAATAGGTTCCTCACATGCATGCCAGCAAGGAACCGGGCTGTAGCATGAGCAGCGCGGTGTTTCTGCCCGAAATTCTTAGGGTTTTCTTCGATGTCCAGACATTTGGGTCTGCATGTGTTGAAGGCTAGGTGGCGTAGTCTGCAAGATGACACAGGCAGTGATTCACGATCATGCTCAGCAAAAGCCTTTCCCGCTTCCTCCGACTCCTTGATTCGCATGACTACGGCCACGCAGAATGCAGACCCAGAAAGCCGAGACCACGTCCAGGAGCAGTTGATGGGAGACCTGCGCGCATGAGAAGACTGACAAGCTAGCATAATAGACCAATTCAGGCAAGACTAGTGACTATTGGAAACAGTACAATGTAAACTTCTGCACCTAAATCCTGAATTTTCTGAACCCTTAACCCAATAGACCAGATTTATGAAAGCCGAAAACCCTATGATCCTCTAGAAGCTAGATTATATGAACCTGAGAGTCCGATAAACCAGGTTATGAACCCCGACAACCCTATGCTCCCATACGCCCCAAACCTCCTGGGATGTCGGAGCCATCGACTGAGCCAGGCCGGAAAGACGAAGCAGCTCGTCGAAGCTGCCAGATCCCGAGCAGCGCATCTTCCAGGAACAGCTTCGGGGATCAGAAAAGTTGAGAGTAATACACATGATAGCAATAAAGAAATACCAAGAATAATAAGGATAAACAAAGCAATCATAATACTTGAATGAGAAACAGCTTTGGGGGGTAAGAGAAAGATGAGACATGGAGCCCCAGAGCTCCTACCTAAGTACCTACTACTAGGGACCATATATCCCCCAATTAAGGGTACAAGGAGGGTCCTGGTATATAATCCCAGTTTCCATTTCCTTGTCCATTTGATTCTCCAGTATAGTAGCTTCCACTTTATTTTCCATTACCCCAATTAAGGGTACAAGGAGGGTCCTGGTAGGTGAGCATCCTCAGGAGGGCGATTTTGGATCAGCAGTTTGCCGCTTTAAGTGTTCAGCCTGCTTTAGGTAAGCAGCTCAATGCGTTTGGACCAAGAAGTGGTCCTGTGATATCGTGCCCCTTAAGTATAATATTGGATATATGGGAATCTTATTATGAAATTGGGCAATTCCATATTCTATCTACTTACGGGGGACTTTAGGTAGATATGTACGTTCCATAATCTGATAACGAGTACTCGCAAGCGGAGAGGCAAAGTTGTAAGCAGGATTCAGTTGGGGCTCACAGCGGCCATTTTATGTTCAGGGAGTTGGCCTCTAGGGTTGAGCATGAATGGAGGTTCTTCATCATGAAGCCCTTGGAAACTCCTTGGTAGATCGTCGCCAATAAGCCCTGGATAAGCCGCCAATTTGTGGAAGGGGCCTCGTGATGCCTTTTAATCTGTTGATGGTAGGCGGGGTACCAGCACCAGCAATCGAGAGAGACAGACAGTGAGAGTGAGAGAGGGAGAGACGCTGAAGCTTCGCAAGGTCCGCAGCGAGAGGTGTTCCTTGGATGTGGCCGCCATGCACTTGGCAGCTTCAAAGCTTCCACATGGGCCTGGGTAGTACAGGGCTGGGGGCACAGGCCGAAATATCTACTACACTGCAGGGATGCGTGGGTGAGGGGTCATGCCACATCTTGCGTGCAAACGCATGCCCGTCCTGGTGGCCTACAATATGAACCATGGTCTAAACTCCTCAGAAGGGGTTATGTAGGGGATTATTTCGGGGAGTATTATAGGGGTTATTAAGGGGGATACCAGGAACTCAAGACCCTAATAGGTCATGCAGGATCGCCCCAAGAATGAGGCTTAACTGGGGCATGCGGCTGCTTTGTAGGCAGTGCCATCACGGTTATCCCTGCTGCTTTGCTGAGGCTGTACTCGGTGTTGCCACGCTGAAGGCTGCTTTCTTACATCTCGGATTCGAGATTTGGGGCCCAGGAGAGTAGAAAAGCAAGATCTAGGAGTAGGCGGCCTACTCCCAAAAAGGGGAAGGGGATGGGACAGTTGCTTCCAATCAGACCTTTACACCTCGGCCTCGTTGCTTTACTCGATGAGGACTTGGATGGAGATCCCTAACAAGAGCTAGGAATACCGAATAAGACTACTGGATTCAACTTTTCATTGGGAAGTCGGTGACGGACCGTGACAGAACTCACTTGCTGCTGAGCGGTCGTACCTTGACAGTGACATGTAGACATCATGCCATCGTCATTGTGTGGCCTGAGATTTCAGGTTGCTACCAACAACTGCCTTCCAAGACCTAATAACTTCCTGGTACCCTGAGCTGGGGATACAAGGCCTCGAATAGCGGGTACTTAGGCCCTAATAGAGGGTAGGTGCTACTGCTACTTAGCTGACACTGAACTCAACTCTCAGTTGCTTGCAGGCCACCTTTCCGCAGCGTTTGTGCTGGAGCAGCACGTAAGAAAGTAGGCCAGCCACACCGAGTATCTCACTGCTTGTTAGTAGGGAATGCAGCAACAGAAAAGAAGGTGGAAGCTACTCTTTAGGAAATGTAGTGTTTAGGACAAGGAGAAGAGAGCGCGGACGCTACTTAATAAGTTGTTGGATTCTACAGCGGCGAACAGATGAATGCCTTCTTTGTTCTCTGCTAACAAGCGGTGAGCATGTTGCGAAGAGCTCAGCGCACATGGCTGCTGGTTGCTCTGACCCTGCCATGCATACTGCGATTTCCACAAAACCCCGCTTTTACTTCGGTACATCTCTCGCGACGGACAGTGCATACCTGGCCGACTACACTGCATGCGAATGCGGAAGACGTGGTGGTACGGCTTCCGGACGGTGCAGTAGAAGGACATGGACTTCTAGCAGTGTCCCTGTAGACCCTGCAGAAGAGCATGCGCATTCTGGATTCTAGATGTCTTCTTGAGGAAGTGGGTAAAGTCAGAAGTAACTTCTCTTTGCATGCAAGGCTTCAATATGCATAAGCCAAATGTAACCCCTGCGTAACCCTATATACTATATATCCCTGTTCCAACTCACTAAACTCTATAAACCCTGAACGCTAAACCATATAAACCCTAAATCCTAAACCCTAAGCCCGATGCGCGTGCCTAAACCCTAAACCCTACAAATCCTAACTCCCCTATATAACCTCATAAACCCTAAGCCCTGAGAACCTCTAAACCCCCTAGAGTATAAACCCTAAGCCATCAACGTCCTGGCTCCGTTTGGTCAGGAGTGGAGGCCGAGCAGCGCGGCTCAGCCTCGGAGGCCATGAAGCCACCAGATGGCCCAGGGCAGGCAGCGATGTGTGCGATTATTTAATATTGCCATGTCTATTTCTGTGTTATTTGTAGCATTTTTTGAATATTGCCATCTACTTTCCTTATTTGTAGTATTTTTTGATATTGCCTCTCTATTTGGATTTCTATATTCTGATGACTCCATGCAGCGCAAGCAACTGGTTGTTGATGCCGCTGTTGCTGTTGTTGTCCAATTCATGCGGTTGTTGTCCAATTCACGGTTTTGGATTTTCGGAAGATACCCTAAACCCCAAACCCCTAAACCTCTTAACCCTAAACCCCTAAACCCTAAAGAGTGTCAGCATTTGGTGTTCGAGGCTTCTGGGTTCTTGGCAGGGACCCCTCCAGCCCTGCAAAGCCAAGCCCTGAACCCTAATTAAACCTGGACCCGTCACCCCTAAGCGCGACATCCTTCCAGATCCCATCATCATGATAGGTGGTCACAATTACAGTTCCTAACTTGTTGGGGGCTGTACTATAGTAGGGGCCCACGAGGGACCATAATCTTCACAACTATCGTAAGCCCAAAGCTGCGGTATGGATAACCCCAACATCACCTTAATACTACAGTAGTTTCCATGTTGTCTATCATTATCCCTATATAACCTCAATTTGTTTATCATTATCCCTATATAACCTCAATTTGTTTATCCTTATTTCTATATAACCTCAAGTTGTTTATCATTGTTTCTATATAACCTCAATATACCACAGTAGTAGTAGTAGTAGTAGTAGTAGTAGTTGTAGTTGTAGTTGTAGTTGTAGTTGTAGTTGTAGTTGTAGTTGTAGTAGTAGTTGTTGTTGTTGTTGTTGTTGTTGTTGTAGTAGTTGTAGTTGTAGTTGTAGTTGTAGTTGTAGTTGTAGTAGTTGTAGTAGTAGTAGTAGTAGTAGTAGTAGGCGCCCCCCCCCCCTA